ATATATATATATATACAGTATATATTCGCAAAATATTCGCAGTTTTTCGGAAAACAAGACATGACTTAAATAGAAAAATAATTGTGGCCTAGATTTTGCCCCAGTGACACATCACGAATTGTATTTTATAAAATATATTTATTTCGGTAATTCCAACATTTAAACAAAGCGTCATAAAAAAACACCACCTTTTTTAAGCGTTGACTAGTGTCATCACGTCAATCAAGGATTGTATTTACTCAGAAAAAGACACATTTACTTTGTTTTTACATCTCATCAGCGGCACTGGGGTGAAAATGTTGGAATATTTATTGTTATAGCGCCTCTTAGAGGCTAAACTGTTGCGCCTGTTTTCATCGTCAACAAAATATGAAATGATACAATAATAATACTTATTATTATTATTACATCACATTTTGAGCGTTTTGAAAGCGTTAGTTTCTATATAATTCCATAAATATTATTAAATGTACCAACATTTCTGATAAGTGTAAGTGTTTGTTAATTCACTAGAAACATGTGTGAGGTCTTTCGCAGGATGTGCTCTGTGGCTGCAACAAATCAAATCATCAGATATTGTAGTTCACAATTACACGTTACATTGTAGCTAATCATAATGACCAGCAACTAAACAACGAGCCCTTTTTACAGCGCGCTGCTTTTCAGCCTTGTTGCATTGTACGTCTTTAAATAAGTGTTTAATTGTGTATACTTGTATTTAACTCCTTTTGAAGCGCACCGAGCGGATGAATGAGCGGATGAATGAGTAAATGAATGAACGAATCTATTTCGTGACGTAATTCCACTTACAGACAGGCATGAGTAGTCGAGCCCACATCTCAGGCAGGGAGGAGCAATGTTTTCATGCCTGCCTTCGACCTGCAGTATTCACTGTGTTATGGCGCCCATAATGTTGCAGAAGAAGGAGTGGACCTCGTAGCGCCGTATTTTGAATCATTCGGGCGTGAGGTACCGTGTGCGTTTGGACGCTCTGGTTTGAATTTCATTTCAACTTCACTTTTGAACCGGCCATGACCGTGGAGCAGAATGTCCTCCAGCAGCATTCTCAGAAGGTAAACGTAAATGAGCTTGGCGGGTAGCTAACTTTAGCCTGGCTGTTATGTGTGCATAGTTTTGAGAATCTGAATTCCTCCATGGTCTAATATCTAAACCTGCAGCAATTTCAGTTCTCATTGCGTCGTGCTGCTAAACTGGGATCACATACGTCAATGACGGCGTCAGGTCGTTTGAAAATAGTACATTAGTGTGTACTAGGCCTTCGAAATCTAGCGCTGTGCAATGTTTTGGTAGCTGTTAGCCAATAGCAGCTAACGGTACGATGTAAAGTTGGCACGCATTTGCTAAGGCGTTGTCACAGCTGACATTTCACGTGTGTTATTGTCAACCACGACGACGCTCAGTAGCTTTAGCGTAGCAAGATGACTGTGTCGTCAGTAGAAATAAACAAGGCCAAGTGGCAGTGACAGATTCAAGTCAGTGTCAGTTCCACACCTTTGTCCGCGCAAAGGCTTTGACTTTCCCGAGGCGCATAACATTGACAGTTTCAACGTGCGGTGATATTCAGTTTGAAGGAGAGTGTGCCAGTGTTGGTGCGGTTACATGCTTTCTGGGTTACTCATCACATATCAGGTAGCTTTGTTTACAAAGTGTGTCCAGCGGTAAAGGTGGGACCAGGGCAGGGATTCACTGGCCTCATGTCATGCCACGGTAGTGTTCAAAACGTTGAAGCTATTTAGGTAAAATGTTTTCAATAAATGTAGCTAGCGTTGCTGAGTTTCTCTAGCTTCATTATTGCTTCACATGTTTATCTAACCACTTGGCTGACGTTGTTGAAGCGTTGGAAAGATGTCTGAACTGTGGGTCTAAAAATAAACGAATTAGTACTTTGTTTACGAGTATCATAATGTCTCATGTTATTATGACACTACAATTACTCAGTAATGTTGGAAGTTGTTTCAGATTCAAAAGGCATGGACTCTCAATTTCACTTAATGTCGTCATGAAGTTCACATGGTTTTATTAGCATTTATGTTTAACCTGTTTGAAGAAAAATGACATTTGAAAGTTTCAGTGAAAGTTTTATGTGAAATCCAAGTCAGCCTGTCACATGTACTGTGACCTTAGGAAGGTTTACTTTGTTTTTCAGTGGTCAGTAAATTTAATTTAAGAACACAGTTAGAAACTGGTGGAAAGAATATTTCTTAAGAAGACAAAATTAAATTCCTAACTTATTTTTAACTGTTGGCTCCTTATTTCAAAGCACATTAAAATGATTGCATTTCATAATATCCTAGATAATATGGTTTGACAGAATTCAACACTTGATGCCCACTAAAATGTGTCAGATGTCGTTTGGTTAATTCTGGTCATTACTAAAGTCAAAGATGTTTGATGTTTGTCTGTAACCCTTGCACATGCACATTAAAAATACTGTGAAAATAGTCAAAAAAGGTGTACCATTTCCTGTATACTGCCCCGTAATAATGTTTTATGTTGTTTGTCTCAAGGTATCACTTGGTGGCTAATGACCAGTGTGACAAACAGCTGTGCCAGACATGTCACATGGAGATGTGTGTGTCTGTGTGTAAATGTCAATGACAGTTTTTTTTCTGGTTGACTTGGCTCAGAGCAACTGCAGGTGTAATTTCCCTCACACTAAGCTTTGACACTGACCAAAGGCCATCGTTACTTCTCTGTTTGTTTGTCTCCAGTGGCTGAAACATTGCGACTGCATGAGGTAAATCCTATGATTCACTCTGAGTTCCAAACCACAGACAGACACAAGCAATAGTTGGCTGTATTTTAAAAACATTGTAACATAGAGTATTTCTTTCCATTCAGTGCAGTTTTCCAGGTTTTTTGTTTTTCTTTTAAGTTACATATTGAATGTCACTCTGGTCAGTGGCATGTCAGAGTAGTGGTTCCTCTTAGCTTCAAAATTCTGTTCTGCACCTTGTCATTCCAGGTTACGGGCTAAAGTATGTTGATGCTAAGGCATTAAGATGGTGGCGTTCATATAAATGAACAATTCAAGTCATTAGGTGAATAACTTCAGCCTCTGTTTAACAGGCAAGACAAAAAACAAATGTTTATGACATTGTCAAACGTGAACTTCCAACTCACTGTGGTAAACACCTCTGGTGTGACTGCAGCAGAAGCACTAATACTATTACACCAACCAGTTCTTCAATCTTTCTAAACATTTTTGTAACAACGGTTGGTCTGGTGATCAATCATTCTACTTGGTGAAATGGAGATGACCTACAGTTATTTCATTTTATGCCTCTAAGAACTTTTCTCTAAGCTCACCAGACAAGATGAGAACTGAGAGCAAGACAAAAAGAATATTTTATTACATTGTGATTATTTTAGAGCAATATAAGAGTCACTTATAGGTATACATTTTCGCAATATAAATATTAGGTATTTTACAGTTGTTTTTAGAAGTGTTTCTTCTCTGCTCAGGATTTATTCACTCGTCTCTTTACAACCAGTGCTTATATGCTTACAATCCACAGAAGGTAAAAAAATAAAGCTGGATAGAAGCTGGTGTAATTTGTTTGTGGCTGCAGCCTGGAGGCAGATGTGATGTTTCTTGTCACGACTGGATTTTATGACTTTTTTTAAATGTTTGCTCTCATGCCCTGTTCTCAAGTCTTGCAAAACACCTGTTGAAGCTGGAATTGTCAAGTGTTGCCATTAATGTTTGTTAGAGTCAGTATTTGGTTCATCAAAATAACCATTAAAGGAGGCTGCGACGGAGGAGTAGGGTTTTATGTTGCCTGCTGCACCTGTGTAAACCACTGACGATCTCACGTTCCTCTCACTCAGGACTTAATACTTCTGTCTTCAATGCTGACACTAAGTGCACTCGGCCAGTATTTATAGAGTTTCATTCAGGCTGTACATTGCAGGTTGTGTGTTGTTAGTAGTCCAGCTGATTTTGACACCATACTAAAAGGGAGGGAAGAAATGAGATGTAGACAGGGTTGGAAATCAAGAACCAAAATTGTCAAGCAACCAATTCCCAAGTCTTGTGTACGAGGCATCTGTAAGAAAATGGAAAGATAAAAGAAAACAAAACACAATTTTCCTTTTGTTTCTTATTTGTGCAATACAATTAGAATCAAAATCCTGCTATTTTCTCTGTCAGGAGCAGAAAATACTAAGAGTTATTTCTTCAATTTATATGTAGGTTGTTGTGTTTACTGTGGAAGCCTGAACAGCTTAAATCCTTTTAAGCCAAAATATGAATATTTGCAGATACATATTTATGTGTTAATTAATTAATTATTGATTTCATTAATTATTCACATTATCACATAAATTATACTTTAATTAATTGATGACATGGGTCCAATAATGCACATTGTCTTAACACTAATATCACCCAATTCATAATGTTTATTTTTTGAATTTTTCTACACCATAAAGAAATCGAGTTTCTCAAAGAGCAATAAAAATAATGACACAGCTGTAAACATCACACATTGAAATTATAATTATAGTAATAAAAAGTACAGTAGACTTTGATAAATTACTAAACCACCGGCAGTTTATCCAGCTGTCACTCTGCGTGTTAAAACCTAATTATAAGGTATGGGTCAGTAATTATAGTAATACATTTTTTTCATGTCGCTCTAATTCCATTTGCCTGCCTTTCCCTTTTTTTGTCAACAGCATCAGCAGACACTATTAAACCAGTTGAGGGAGATCACGGGAACCACTGACGTTCAGCTACTTCAGCAAGCTCTGCAGGTACACCAAACAGAGATCTGCACCAAACTCACACTAAAATGTCTGGTATCAAAATAAGCCTGAGCATTCGCATTGTTAATGTAGGTGAGTAATGGAGACCTAGCCGAGGCTGTAGCTTTCTTGACTGAGAAGAACGCCAAGGTTCCTCAGCAAGATGAGACTACCTACTACCAGACGTCCCAAGTGGCCAGTGACAGGTATATCAGTGTGGGCAGCCAAGCAGACACAAGTAAGTATCTCACTTAGTTGTCAGTTTTATTATTGTTATTACATGATGTTGTTTCCTCACTAATCTCTTAGCTCTCTCTGTATATAAGTGATGGTAAAATACAGGAGAAGCTTAGATTTTTCAGTGTTTGTGTTTGTGATTTCTCCCTGATCTAGATGTCATCGACCTGACTGGAGATGATAAAGATGACCTACAGAGGGCAATCGCTCTCAGCCTGGAGGAGTCCAGTCGTGCGTTCAGGGAGACGGGCATCACTGATGAGGAGCAGGCCATCAGCAGGTTCTTTACCCTGCAGTTCTTACAACAAAAGGCTATTTAAAAATGCATTTTTTTAAACATTTTTCCAAGTGTTTAAAAAAAGCAACACTGATCCCTGTACATATTTATAAGCTCATTGTCAGCATAGTTTCCATTGTAGTCACTGATGTAAATAGAAAATTAACTCTGACTAACAGTTACCAGAGAGCTGTTCCCGGACTGATTGTTTGAACAGTACAACCTGCTGTAGCTATCGGGGTCAAGTCAAATAATAACCAGCTTTTTAAAAATTATTTTACTTATAACTTAATAGAGTTATAAAGAAGTTAAGAAGAAACAATATAAGAAAAGTCGGCCCTGTAACTGCACAGGATTACTGGAAATGATTATTCTAGGTGTTACACTAAAGCAGGGCTCCAGGGTTGAAGAAAGATGGATAAAACACATTTTTTTGGCAGACAAAAATATTTTGCCACCTTCTATTTTTTTATTAGAGTTCTGGAGGCCAGCATAGCAGAGAACAAGGCGAGTTTGAAGCGCACCCACACAGAAGTATGGAGCGACTCACCCAACCCACATGATAGGAAGAGGATAGAAAACTGCCCTGTGGGGCTGAAGAATGTTGGCAACACCTGCTGGTTCAGTGCTGTCATACAGGTGGGTGCAAACACAGCAGCCGACCGTGCTGGTGGTCAAAGAGTCAGTGAAGAACACTGGTCTAAATTTAGGGTTTTTCCACGGTTACATTTGCCATAAATCTGCTGTTGTTTGTAAAATTGAGGATTGTATCAGTTTTAACTCTACCAATTACTTAGCATTACTCTCTAGCATTACTCACTAGCATACTTAGGATTCCTAGATAATGAAATCAGCCATTAAATGTCCTGCAGTGAATAGAAGAATTGTGTAAATATAATGTGCTGGAAAATACTGGAATTGCTGCTCTAAAATCCTTGACCACGGCTGAACTAAGTGTGACCAGTTCAAATATGCCAAATGGACTGGATACATGACCACATGGGGCCTGGCTTCTGTCTTTGTCATTTAACCTCTAACCCTGATCAGAAGCTCCAGACTGAAACTGATTCCAGTACACTTACAAGAACCCAAGTAAACAACTTTTCATTCCCTCACAACAAAACAGAAAGAAAACATTTTAATTTCATGTAAAATTTTAATTGTAGACATTATGACAAATGATATTTGATATAACAGACACATGCAACAATGACATTATTCCAAGTTAATGTAAATGATGAGACACTATGTTATAATCAAGCTTTTAAATTAAAGCGCTTACTGCAGATTACAATTGCCAGGCATGAAAGTGCTCATGTTATTATGGATAACTACAGCACTTGATTAAAAATACTTCAGTTTATTAGAAGCAAGTGTAGAGCAAACACACACAGAGGAAAAAAAGAATTATTATTCCCCAGCTACTGTAATAAATGTCTTATCAGATTGAGCTTCCTGGTTTTAGAAACTGATTTTCAATGTTTTCAACGTTGGTAAACTTTCTGTAGCAGATTTTGTAGCAGATTTTGTAGCAAATTTTGTTTTAATTTGAAGAGATTGATTATCCTATTGTAGCACAGTTTGTGTTGAGGCCTTTGACTACAGTTAACACGTCTCCTCTCTCCTCTTCGTCTTGAAGTCTCTGTTCAACCTGCTGGAGTTTCAGAGGCTGGTGCTCAACTACTCTCCACCAGCCAGAGTCCACGACCTGCCCCGCAATCAGAAGGTGAGAGTCTCCTGATTAGCCTGTTGTGGACAGTGAATTCACCCCTGAACAGTTAGCATTTATCTGTGTGTCGTGGCCCAAGGTCAGCAGCGCTAACACCCAGGTCCTTAATTGTTAATTCACTGCTTGAAAGCCTCAAGAAGTTCCCCTGCTTTACAATGTGACATAAATCCTTCACATCCCTCAACCAGGCATACATAAATATGCACTATTTCAAATTAGAAATATTAATGTTGTATCACAGTCATCACAATATGAACAGGGTAGTTTGTCAATGTTTTTTTCCCCTCAGTGCAGTCTTACTTTAAGGGTAGCTTTAGCTTCGAGAAGACTGCTGTGAGCATCTGGTTTTTGGTAGAATGATGATGATGATGATGCTTCACTCACATGTCAGTTATGTGACTGTGACCAGGAGCATAGGAACCTGCCCTTCATGCAGGAGCTCCGGCACCTCTTCTCTCTCATGGTGGGCTCTAAACGGAAGTATGTGGATCCATCGAGAGCAGTGGAAATCCTCAAAGATGCCTTCAAGTCCAGTGAATCACAGCAGGTAAGGCTCTCCACACTGTTGAACTGTGTGTTTCAGTCAACAAGTAACAGTCAAATAATGTTGAATGTGTCCAAACAGCTGTCTGAAATGCATATTAATCTATATCAGTAATGTCAAACACAATCACTCAATAGGGCCAAAATATAAAACACAGTTTATAAGTTGTGGACTGAGCAGGAATAACATTTATAGTCACTGACAATGATACAACCAGACATAAAGAATTTGGGAAGACTGCAACAGTATTGTCTTTTCGTGATGTACATCACAGTAGAACAGTTATTCTGCTACATTAGAGAATATCATCCATTCAGTGGTGAGTCACTGCCTATTATTCCAATATGAATTAGTTTATTTGTATTTTTACTGCACATGCTCCCTTTTCCAAGAAATATTAATGGACCACAAATGTCAAATGTTCTGCTCACCTAAGCATTTGCATGAAGCCAGTGTCTCTGCGGAGGTTAACCCTGGCCTCCCCTCTGGCCCCTCCACTCATCAGTCATGTCATTCCTCTGAGTATCACTAAGGTCAGAAAGGCATTGACCTGAATTACAGGATGACATTGATGTCTGTGTGAGAGTGCTCCGAGGGCATTTAGGTTCTGTTTGAAGTTCTGCAATCTGTGAGCCGCTCCACTAGGCCTTGCACCCAAAACTCAATGACAATAAGAACTTGACAGACATGACATTGATTAGACTCCTTAAACCTTTCTTGCCTCAAATGCATTTAATCCAGGAGTTTGACTTTGTGACCCCTCTTGTTAGAAGCGCTGTACTGTAATTGGTCTTGTTGTACGTGTTTATACGTGTGCCTGGCTCCACAGCAGGATGTCAGCGAGTTCACCCACAAACTGCTTGACTGGCTGGAGGATGCTTTCCAGATTAAGGCTGAGGAAGACAGGTAATTACAACCAACAACCCATTCAGTCACTTTATAAAAAAAACATTTATTCAAAGAATGATTTAAGAAAATATGTGGATGTCACACCCATAATTATTATTATTACTATTGGGAGTAGTAGTAATGGTATAGTTTTAGTATTAGTATTTTTTTATTATTATTATTGTTATTATTATTGCCTTCCAACAGTGAGCAAGATTTCAAGCTTTTGCAGTAAGAATAGACCATAATTCCACCTGCAAAATCAACACAACAATTACAATAAAGGATGATTGTAAATCAATTAGATGTGTGCTTTCTGTGCGTGAGTGCATGTAAGCGCTTTTAAAATTCTAGACTGATTTTGTTTGTTTTTTTGTCAAGTGTACCAACTTTTCTTGTTCTGAACTGGTTCTGTTTATTAAGCAGAATGCTACACACTTCTAGCCAGCAAATCAAGTGTAACGCTCATAACATTTGACTTAAACTCAAGGCTAATGTTTTGTTTTTAGGGAAGGTGAAAAACCAAAGAACCCTATGGTGGAGCTTTTCTACGGTCGCTTCCTAGCTGTGGGTGTCCTGGAAGGTGAGAAGAGGTGTTAAATTAAATCCTATAATGAGAAAAAGTGTGGGGTGCCTGAAGAATTAAGGGTAGATTAAGCATTAGGTTGCTCTGATTACAGCAGCCAGAAGGCTAGCAAGTTCTTGCTCTGAGTAATGAAAGGTGACCTTGTCGTAATGAGATGTGGTTGATGTAAAAGAGGCGAGTGGTTTGCATTGATTGTGGAAGACCTTGACGGCTGATTGACATTGCACTTATTATGCATGACAACACTGGCCCAGAGCCACCAAAGCTGAGCCAGTGGACTCTGCTGCTCATAAAATGACCTTAATGCCTCATTTACATGTCCGCCAGCTACTACTCTCCTCTTCTTTTTTTGGGCTGGATGAATGGAGGAGGGGGGTTCTTATCATAGTGCTGTGATCCATTAAGTAGATATGCTTAAGTGGGTGGGCTGCACAACTGAAAATCAACTTCATTCAAGTGACTGTGATGCATCCCCGTTAGAAGAATAATAATAATTCATATTATTGTTATTACCTTTTTTTCTACATGACAGTGATGTAAATAATTAATTCATCAAGACTCGTTGTTAGCTTTCAGACAGGTCATCAGTTGTGACTGATTTGTTTCTGTGTGTGTTGGTGATTGAACAGGTAAAAAATTTGAGAACACAGAGATGTTTGGACAGTACCCGCTGCAGGTAAACGGCTTCAAAGATCTCCACGAGTGTCTCGAGGCTGCAATGATCGAGGGTGAGATCGAGTCGCTGCACTCGGCAGAGAACTCCGCCAGGTCTGGACAAGAGGTCAGTGTCTAAGTTCAACTACTGTTTTACAGTGTTTAGTAAATGTTTGGTATCCTTAGTTAGTTTGTTTTGTGCTGGAGAAGTCAACATGTCTAAAGATGTTTTAAATGACATGAAACTTGTAATAATAAAATAAAATGATGGTTTGAATGTTATAAATGTAAAAAATAATCGGGTTGCACATCAAATAGATTTTCACTGTCATTCAGTATTTAACAATTTTGGAATTTGATCAGTGCGTCAGATAAGTGTGTCCCATGAATCAGCAGTCTTCTGAGAATTACAATGAAAATGGTTTCTGACAAGTAACTAATGATAGTCTGGTTTACTTGGTGGTAAAATATACCAATAGATCTATGATCAGTTTATGGACAAGTGTCACCAATGTCTTTGGTGTACCAGTACATGTACCTGCAGGTTTATAGACACAAAACAATTTAAAAATCAGTCCTTTTAGGCATTTTGACTGAAATCACTGCCTGCTAATAGTTCATAGTGTTGATCCTCACGTGCTGTAAGAGCAGACGGGGTTGAATGAGCAACAGAGTGACTGGTCTGACTCCCTCTGAGGACAAGTCTGACTAGGTGTTTTCCAGTTTCTTCTGTGGTGTGGAAATGACGTTGGAGTTAGTCATCTCGATATCAGTCAGTGGCAGTGACCTTACAGACAGTGACTTAGGTTAATGTGTGCTCGATATCAGTCAGTGGCAGTGACCTTAAACTAAACCTTAGACTAAACAAGTTACACCAACAGTTTAGACCACTGTAGGAATGTTGAGGAATACTAAGCAACATTAGTATTCCTCAACATTCCTTTAGCCTCAGTACACCTAAATCTGTTCTTTGTCAAACAAGTCATATTAGAACCAATACAGCAAAGAAAAAGTAATATGTACATATTGTATTTTGTAACTTAAAATAAGTAATGTAATATTTTCCTTTTAGCACTGGTTCACAGAACTCCCTCCTGTGTTGACCTTTGAACTGTCGAGATTTGAATTCAACCAAGCACTCGGACGACCTGAGAAGATCCACAACAAGCTGGAGTTTCCTGCCATGCTCTACATGGACAGGTAACACACCTGATAAGAAGATGTCTTCACAGTCAATCCTCTCTCTGGTCTACTCTGTATTGGCAGTATGATGTGTAATGTTCCATATAATACCATTGTAAAACAGCAATACTTGTTGAAGAAAAATTATCTGTTGATAATTTGGTACAATGCTGGATATTTAGATTAATGTTGAAGTTGGTGGAGAGTCGTAAGTGGTTTTTTTTCCATCTTCTGTTTATGATCAAAAGTGTCAGGTATGCACATTGTGCAACAAGTTTAACACCAATGCCTCTGCTGTCGTTTCTGCCTTGTCAGGTACATGGACAGAAACCGAGATGTTACACGAATCAAGAGGGAGGAGATCAGGAGGCTTAAAGAACATCTGACACTGCTCCAGCAGCGACTGGAGAGGTCCGTTTCTATCTTTCTCTCATTTCGTCCTTCTCTTGTTTCTCTCTTCCTTGACACCCTCTCTTCTCTTTAACCCCTGCTCTTTACACTTTCTCTTTCTCAGGTATCTGAGTTATGGCTCTGGCCCCAAGAGGTTTCCTCTGGCAGATGTCCTCCAGTATGCCATGGAGTTTGCCTCTAGTAAGCCTGTGTGCACTTCTCCAGTTGAGGATATCGACTCGTCTACGCCCCCTGGTGGCGCAACAGGACAACAGTTGCCCCCACCAAGGTAGATTTAAAAACGGCCCCAAATTTGGTTTTCCTTAATAGAGACACAATGTGATTCAATTTGATAGATAGATAGATTTCTTATACATTCTTTTGAGTAGTTTCAAATTGGATCTAAAAATTGAAAATAACAATATCCTGCATTTTAGTTTTATTTTTGATAGATTTAAGTTACTTCTTTTTTATTAGAAAAATAACTTTTCAGACCATAAGCATGCAACATTAATGAACAAGACATTTTCTTTGAACAGAGCTCTGTTTAAACTTGAGAGTCACTGTTTCTCTGAACAACCACTGCTGTTGTGCACAAATCTAACACTTCTGTCACTGTGTTAATCAATTGGACATCGATCCAAGGCATTTTTGTAAATGTGCCTGGTCTTCATAGTTTGACTGTGTTTTCTATCTGTAGCATAGTGGAGCACGACTCCTTGCCCCCTCTAGAGACTTCAGGCTCAGCTTCAGGTCCCACCCCAGCTCCTGCTGTGGCCCAACAACAGAGAGTGCCCATACATAAACCCTTTACCCAGTCCCGCCTTCCTCCTGACCTGCCTATGCACCCTGCCCCACGACACATCACTGAAGAAGAGCTGAGGGTGCTTGAGAGCTGTTTGCATCGTTGGAGGAGTGAAGTGGAGAATGACACTCGAGGTGCGACCACCTGCCTCAGAAACTGTACACAGATGTTTGTTGTTGTTGTTGTTGTTTCTCTGTCGCCATCTCTCTCCTTAATCACTGGCAAAATGTGCATTTAATTTGCACTTAGAAATAAACCGAGTCATCTCCTCTCCCCACCAGATCTGCAGGGCAGCATAACCAGAATCCACAGAACCATTGAACTAATGTACTCAGACAAATCAATGATGCAGGTGAGCAACAAGACGTGTTTTCAGTACTTCTCACCAAAACTGACCACTCAAGTCAAGTTTAAAAGTCCTTTTGGTGTTCTAGGTCCCATATAGGCTTCATGCCGTGCTCGTCCATGAGGGCCAGGCCAACGCAGGCCACTACTGGGCCTACATTTATGATCCTCATCAGCGCTGCTGGATGAAGTATAACGATATCTCTGTGACTAAGTCGTCCTGGGAGGAGCTGGTCAGAGACTCGTTTGGAGGCTACCGTAATGCCAGTGCCTACTGTCTCATGTACATCAATGACAAGAAGCCCTTTCTTATAGAAGGTACAGGTGACTCTATTTTACCCATAGATATGAGTCAAACTGATTCCTGTCAGACCCTCAACCTGTGTTTTGTTTCAGGGGTTTTTTTGTCCAGCAGAATCTCCTCAGTATACTCTCTGCTGAATATGTGTGTTGTCCTCTTTGCAGAAGAGTTTGATAAGGAAACGGGGCAGATACTCAGTGGCATGGACAAACTGCCTCCTGACCTGAAGCATTACGTGAAGGAGGACAATGAGCTCTTTGACAAAGAGGTTCAGGAGTGGGACATCATGCAGGCTCGCAAGAACCAACAGGAGAAGCTGGCACTGGCCACAGCGGCAGCAGCAGCAGCTGCTGCTTCTTCAGCAGCTTCCACCACTTCCTCCTCTCCTCAGCCCATGAGTGTTGGATCCAGCCCTCCAGAAAACACAGGTCAGTCATTTTTAAGGGGCAAAAAGTTGTGGCTAATATATTCAATGTAAATAATATTTTTGAAAATGTGAAAATCCAAAATTTCTCTCATGTGGTTGCTGTTTTGTCCCAGCAGTTCCCCAGCAGGACCCAGAGTACATGGAGCAGCCGTCACCCACGAATGACTCCAAGCACCTGCAGGAGGACACTGAGCGCGCCATCTCCAGAGCTGTGGCAGAACAGGACGAGAGAAATCCTGAAGCTGTGTTAAACGCTGTACGTAAAATCAAAATAACAAGTCGAAATATGTCATCGTCTCATCATTAGGGAACGTCCTCCGTCAGAATACTTTTAAAATCTATGCAATTGCACTTTAAATTTAAATGACAAAAACACAAAATGTAATTGACAGTGGATTTAAATCACAGTAAATAAATATTTAATGTTTCTGGCCCTCCCTGTGTGCCTTCAGAGCTAGGATTTATTTTTGTTCATCTCTGAAGTTTGAGCTCCGTCATGAAATTTTACCATAATTTTTCTAAATAACCTGTTTATGATCCTACATTCCCATTAAAACAGAGTCAAAAAAGTGTAAATTTTCCAGTCAAAAGAAAATTGTATTCAGAAAATAAAACCAGCAAAACAAAGAAATCACATTTTGTTGATAAAACAGTGTTGCTTCCATAGAAAAGACTTCCTGACATCACCAGCAGGTGTCAGTATAATTTAAGTCAGTGGACTAAAACGCTGGATACACATGTAACCAATTTTTTAAATTTATATTATTACTGTAAGTTTAATTATTCTTTTTTTTTTTTTTTAGTTTTAGTTTTCCACTTTATATAACGTCCCTTGTCTTTCCATCACTTTCTGTTCCCCTGTGTCATCTGTCCACTCTCTCTCCCTCTACAGTCTGTCCCTTATCCTACTTCCCCTCAGCCTGAGGTCCAGGTGAGCAGCCCCTCTACACCTCCTCCTGACCTGGTCATGGAGGATGAGTCCCCTTGTCAGCGCACCGTAGAGGTGGCCATTCCCAATGTGGGGACATTTGTCATTGAGTCAGAAGAGGGGGGTTATGATGACGAGGTAGCTCTTGGTCTAATGAATTTCCTCTTCCTTTTGTGTCCAATGTGCTGAGACGCCTGTTCCTCTTTGATGCACGACGCAAACGCATCATTGCGCATTGACATTGCACGACACTGGATTTTTCACACCTGGCAAATTCTGACACTTCACGCTGACTGACTTTAAGAGTAGCTTGGGGCTAAAGATAATGCAGTCTCACTGATCTGTTTTCACGGCCGTTCTGGTTGACCCTTGTGTGCTAGGTCTGTTTCTTAAGCCCGTCTGCATCCTGGTACAGAATGGAGTTAGCCTCGAAGAACTGTTTATTCACATCTGTTACTGTCACCTGACAAAGGTCAAGACTGTCATTATAATCATGGAGAGACATTAACCTTACATTTGTTTTCCACTTCATATCAAACACTTTACTTTTGTAAGGTTGATCACTGTTAACCAGTACCAAAATGATTCTGGGTCTGGAACTTACCAACCAGACCTCTATAAATTCCAGCTTTATTTTTCCTCTCTGTTTTTACGAGCAGTTGTTAGCATCTACATCGGTACATTTTATTGTTAGTGGTGAGGTGTGCAAATTTAAAGTTCTTTCATAAAACATAGAAAGACAGAGAGAGTCAGGCACAGGATCCAGATGCAGTTTAATGACAGCTGACATTGATCTGCTGTGTGTTGGTTAAAACATAGCGATCGCTTTGTATCCAATGCCACAGTATTACACAAACAACAGTGTTTTTTTTTACTTATTACAATGAGCACATTGAAGTAGACATATTTATACAGGAGTAGAAAGAAAGTTACTAATTTTATATTAAGAACTGCTGTTAAAAACATAAGGTGCATGGGCTTAAAGCTGTCCTTCAGTGACTTCAGTTCTAGTCTGTGTTGGACAGACTTTGTGCTGTTGTATCGGTGGCGGCTGCTCTGCAGTGATGTGATGTTTCCAGCCTGTCGTCCCTGCTCATTCACTGATCAGTCACACATGGTGTTGTATGGCTGCTTTGGTTTTCTTCCACTTTATGGGTGAGGTCTATGCATTGTGTCATTGAACGGACTGGCTTCCTCTGACTCATTCGTCACCCTAACCAGTGCATGAGTTGCTGAGTGATACCTAGCATGCGCTGTCTGTGGGAGGCTTTACTGTAGTGCCCATGAGCACATGATGTAGAGGTTTGGCCTTGTCCCCAGAACCTGTTGTTTTGATTAACATGGTTCCTGCTTCCTGGGCAGGCAATGATGACCCCCAACATGCAGGGTGTAATCATGGCCATTGGCAAATCCAGCAGCATTTATGAAAAGAATGGGCCTGAGGCAGCATTTTTTAAGGTATTCCCTATCTCTCCTTCACTGTTCCTCATTCTTTTTTCACCTCCACCTTGCTCTTCTCTGTACGTCAGTCAAACCATCGATGTTCTTGTATGTTCTTTCTCATATATGTTATGATCTTCAGTTATCAGAACCTCTCTTACATAATGTACTACATATTGCTTATATTCTTAATTGGCAAACAAGTCTGTCTAACTGTAAATATTAAAAAAGACACTTTTCCTTAAGCAGTTGTGATTTTGTTACGTAAAACAGACGTGCTCATAAACTTTTAGTCAACTCTTAAATAAAGAAAATGTTTTTCAGTAATGGCAGTGATGTTTAGAGATGGTAAATGTCAGTCCATGTTTAATTGTGCAGTGCAGTACTTGTACTAGAACACTGGACAGACAGGGTGCTTTTTATGTTTGCATTTATGGGAAAACAATCTTGTTGTTATGGCTGAGTGCGTAATCTGTAGAGTGATTTTCATGAATATCCTCTCTGCAGGTGATCCATATCCATTCTAACCACGACCTGTCACTTCCTTGTTTCTGTTTAGGCCATAAAGCTGGAGTATACGCGCCTTGTGAGATTTGCCCAGGAGGACACGTCCCCCGAGAATGACTATCGACTGCAGCACGTCATTGTCTACTTCATTCAAAACCAAGCTCCTAAAAAGATCCTGGAGAGAACTCTGCTCACACAGTTTGCTGACAGGAACCTGGCCTTCGATGAGAGGTAGTTCAAATGTCACACTCTACAACAAACTTGTGTTAAAGTCGAACTGTCAGTTCCAGTGAACATTAGTACTGTTACAGGCAAATGTACTACAGTAGTGTGTATACGAGTATATGAGTATACATGATCCAGTTGTCCTGAACTTAGCTCAAAATATCGTTACAAGTTTAATGCAACATAATCAGTCTTTCATAGAGATTCCACTGTACAAATACAGGCATACAAAAAAGGCTGTTTAAATGAAATAAAGTGAATTGCAGTTCAAAGCCAAGATATTCTGTGGTTTTAATTAGTTTAATGTTATCTTTCAGATATCATATTTCAGGAACTAAAGTTGCACCATGTACAAGCCACAGCTGAAAATCAGTTTAATTTGTGTTTAACTGCATGACGGGCAGGAGACCTGTCAGAGCCCTATAACCGAGTGGTGTCTTCTTCCAGTGGCATACATGTTGCATTGCAAATGTTTTAATACATTTTGCACATTTAGAGGAGGAGTTAAAATCATTTTTGTATTCAACTCCTGAGGAATATTCTGTGTAGTATCAGCAGTTTTTCATAGTAGTCATTGTTGTTTAGGGTGTTCTCCTCAAATTAACCAGCAGAGGGCAGCAGAGGCCTATTCCGGCATTATCGTTTCATCTGCTCTCCACACAGAGAATGTATTTCATTTGGTCAATGCTTTCAACCTATAAATGCTTCCTGATGTGTCTTCCTTCTTTTTTTAAACACAAATCTCCTGGGACTCATGCCCAACAATGATCTTTTTAATGCTGCTGGCGAATTTCAAGATTCCTTCCCAGTGGTATTCTGGCACTCATGTCCTTAGGCTGCCTAATGCTCCGCACTGTCTCCTAAAACTTTTCAACTACACTTGTTGGCCTCAATCCATATTCATGAGTGAAAAATTGATTTCTCCTTTCTCCTCTATTTTGAGCCGGATAATTAGATTTATGTGTTCATGTGGCCTCAATAGGGGCCTCGGGAGGAGCGTTTCACTTCTCCTCTCAGCTCTGAAGAGTGTTTCATTAGGGCCATGTTTAGGCCTAGGGGCAGGGTGGACGGTTTCATCTCCCCGAGTAACTGTCAGTGACTCAACCGTTTTTTGCTGTGTTCCCACCCCCACAGATGCAAGAGCATTATGAACGTGGCACGTGCCAAACTGGACCTAATTAAGCCGGAGGAGGTCAACATGGATGAGTATGAGGTCAGCGGTGACCTGTTCTTTAAAGCCGATGCTGTGACGTGGCTTGGGGACCAGCCGTTGTGCCGGTGGAATTTCTCAGGGACTTTAATTAATTTCCACTTGTCTTCATCAGATCTGGCATCAGGACTACAGGAATTTCCGTGACACGACCGTCTTCATGCTGACAGGCATGGAGCTCTTTCAAAAGTCGAGGTACAGTGAGATCTTTTTTTCCAAGCTCCCCTTAAAAAAGAACAAACAACCTCCTGGCTCTAACTTATGCAGGTTTCATAGCAGCCAGTAAATATTGAAGTTTCTCCTGTAGGGGGCAGCAGCACAGTTCCAAACTTTGTCATTGTGCAGCCACGGGTTCACAGAGTTTACATCTCCTTTTCAGTAGTTCACACTTAAACTTCAAAGTAAAACTTTGATGTTCTTTTTTCTGAGCGTAACAGTTGTCACTTGACGTTGTTTCCACTGCAGTTATGTGGAGGCGCTGATGTATCTGATTTACTCCTATCAATACAACAAGGAGCTTCTGTCCAAAGGCGTGTACAGGGGTCACAGCGAGGAGTTGCTTGGGTTCTACCGTCGGGAGTGTCTGCTGGTGAGTTGGTTGGTGACTAAAACAGAAAGCCAACTTGTCAGATGGCTTTTGAAATAGTGCTTGTGTTCTTCTTCTTTTGTCACACGTCTGTTTAAATCGATCACAGAAGAGGTGAGCCGTGGACCAATGTCTCTCTTGTCCCCACAGTCTGCACCAGAGGTTGTCATTGTCGTCTTCTCGGTCACTCCCTCTCCTCTCTGTCAAACTTTCTCTGCTAAAGTGACTCAGCAAAACGACCGTAGCCAGACATTTCCCCTTTAATTCGGAGCTGTGCTGCTATAATCAAATTGCTCTTGCTGAGATATTGCATTGGCTCACTCACTACCCACAAAAGATTCCACTGAAGATTTTTCATTTGATACTGACAGATGAAAATCCTTTCAGCGTTGTGATGTGAGCGTCTTTTCATTTCACTCCCACCAAGCTCCAGGCTGCACTCTGGTATTATTGGTTAGGTCTGTGGGTATTTTGGTCTGATCAGCCTCATACTGATCCTCAGCAGCCCCCTCTCTGCTGCACTCAGTAACCTTACACCAGCATTGTGCTTATAATGTAATCACTGGAGTGGGAATAGGAAGCAGGAGGGCCTGCGAGTGTAAACACATTACCATGGGACACAAGCGTGTCCTGAGCTAACCTCAAACCTCAGCGCTGCACAGCACGATCACATTTGGTCATCTCAGATCTCTGGCCAGAACTTCTGGCTCCGTCCGCTCAGCTGTTTACCTTCAGCTCTTGTTTTAATTGAAAACATTGCTAACATTGACATAGTTAATGTACTTGGATGTTTTGCAAATCCAGAGCCACGGTCCCTGATTCCAAACTGGCTCGGTAAAAAATGGCTCGTTACCTCAGAGAGAGGAGGTCAGAGAGTTTGTCTGTGACAGCAAGGTGGTTGCAGCCAAGAAGTGGAAGAAAAGCTTGTATCCACTCGCATGAAACATCAGGCCCTTGTTAAGCTCCGGTGGCAGCAGGATTACTGTTAGTACTTGGGCTGTTCAGCATTTATCTGTTACATCAAATGGGAAAACCTTGACCAGAAAGAAAACAGTACAAGAAATGCTAATTATATGAAAATCAAAAATCATAAAGTGTGCGCTACAAGCTACTTTAGAAATAACACAAATAAGAGACACATTTTTTTTCTTCTGGAGTACCTAAATTATAAGAATGAAAGGTTGACGTCATTGTTCCCTCTGCAAGATCGTTCTGCCTACAGGCTGTGAGGGCAGCATGGCCTTGTCTTAATAAACAATGGGGACCGTCTCCCCAAAGGGGTAAGAAGCAGAAACACCACATGAAGTCAGAGGGGGGCAGGGAGGTGCCGGTGGTCTAGTTTTATTTCTTTTGGCCACACTGAGGTCTGATCAACACAGCACTAACCATGGTGACTCCAATTAGGCATCAGTATAATAACTTTTCAGGCTGATTTGATGAGAACTCAGTAAAAGGTAATTACACCTTCTCCTAATGTAGGTTTAAAACAAATGCAGACTAACAGGAAGAGGCTCAAACTGTCACTGTGGCCGTTAGCAGTGACGGCTTGATTAAGATAATTATTCACTGCTTTTACAAAATCCCCCTGACGTTACCGCGGCATGTCAAACCCTTCTTTTGTTTTTCTGCCAAAGAAATTAAACGAACAAGCGGCAGCCATGTTTGAATCCGGAGAGGAACCAGAGGTGACGACGGGCCTGGGGATCATGAATGAGCTGGTCGTTCCCTGCATCCCCCTGCTGCTGGCTCACGACGCAGAGAGAGACCTGTTGGCAGTGGAGGACATGAGGAACCGCTGGTGCTCTTACCTGGGCCAGGAGATGGAGTGTAAGTCCCCGAGAGTCGACCTGCACAGCACATTGTACTTCATCCACAGATCATCGCAATTAATGCTGCAATATGTGGATTTGTTACACATTCAAATCTTATATCTTATTATAAATCATTTGTGAATTGAGGAAACTAATTGTTGCCGTTTCCACTGTTGGAATTTTGGCCCCAAACCATCATGATGTACCGTTTACCAGGGGAAGCGGAGGGGGCTAAATTGTCTCCCGTCCTTTTATATAGTGTGGTCTGCTCCACCTCAGCGTCCTCTCTGCAGTGATCCATAAATCCACCGACACCTACCTGAACCAGTAATTCTCTTGAGTGTATTGACCTGAGCCCACTCTTCTATATCACCGTGCTTCTATTATTTAATGATTAGGGACTAATGAATATTTTCCACATCAGTTCTCAACTATCTCCTCCACCCACAGCCAGTCTGCTTTTAATGAGAAATGTTTGTCTTAAGGACCTGCTCCGCCCTGTAACTGCTAATTTTAGCCCGCAGTGTCATGACAGGGACCAGGAGAAGTCTGAAGAATCTCATTATCACTAACGTACATGCTAAGTTGATTAAGTAGCCACGCTACTGTATATTAGCAGAGGACCTTGGCTCAGAGTGCAGTTTTCTTTAGACGTTGTCGGGTTTTTTTTCCAAAGTGGTTTCGACAAATTCAGAAGCTCACCATTTTTAGACAAAGTTTGAAGCTAAAGTGTTCAAACTTCTCTTCACTAGATTTAAGGAACAGCCCTACTGTCATCCCTCCTCCACAGATAGTTGGCACAATAGAGTGGGCTAGGTAATGTTTTCCTGGTATTGACTAATCCGGACTCATCCATCAGTCTGTCAGAGAGATAAGACTGACTGCCCCCCCCCCCCACAGAACACCTTCCCACTGCTCCACAGTCCAGGGTTGGTTTTGCTTCTGCTCTATAAAATCCAATAAGAGTTTGTTTGATGATACCTGGTGAAGATTTCTCATCTGTGCTCATCCACAGAAGTCCGGTCCAATGTTAGAACCAGAGGAAATTTAGAACTTTTCACTTTCACTCCACAGTGTTGGGAACGGCATTGTTGTTTTACAATTGTGCACAGGATTTTTTACTTTCTGACTTTACTGCTGTTATCCAAATTCTATCTAGGTTGCTAGAAATTTTACAAATTAACTTCTAGAGATGATACGCTTATGTACAGATATGCTGTAAACCAACGAGTTAAAATTACCGGTAAACTAAATACCAGTGTTCTTTGATGCAGTGGAAAATGTGTGTCCTCTACAGCAATGGGTTAAAAACCAAAATCAAATTCTGTTGAAATTCCACCTTGAACCTTTCATTTCTGTCCAAATAAACAGCACAGCGTTCACTGCTATGCTGTGGAGAAGCCACTCCTCTGCGTATGTTGTGATTTTCTCACAGACTGTATGTTTCCAAAATTCCCCTGGTGTCAGTTACCAATATTACTGACCTCTTCAGGACAACACCCACTCTGTGGGTTCATTTTCGGCAAAAATAATAATGCTAGTAATATTTTCATATAAAGTTCAGAGCTGGTGAATGGGTCCAAATATTCATCTGAACATTATAAGGTGTTTTACTTCATTTTCCAACCTGCCTGAGATGTGCTCTTACAGTTGTCATTGTGTGACCTCAGTGAGTCAGGCACGGACACCACCCAGTCAGAGAGTCAAATAAGGTCAACCTTTAAGTAACAGTCTGTGGGAAAATGCACACACTGTCTTTTAAATGATTCCTTGGAGGAAAAGAAAACAGGAGTGGAAGAGATTCTGTTTTTATCAGAACATTCCAGAATCATTCCACAGAGAGTGTCTTCTCTGAAACCCAGGCCCATGTTCTGGAAAGTACAACATTATCACCCAGAAGTCGTCAGTTCATGTTGATGGACGTGTTTTCTACCTTCGTATTTAGAGATAATCTTCTTCGAATATTTTCCAGTTGATGAGGTTGTGAAGTCATTTTTCACCTTTCACTATCTCTCTCTGTCTCTGCCAACAGCCAACCTTCAGGAAAAGCTCACCGACTTCCTCCCCAAGTTACTGGACTGTTCGACGGAGATCAGAAGCTTCCACGACCCTCCCAAGGTTCCGTCCTACTCCACTCTGGAGCTGTGTGAGCGCTTCAGCCGCATCATGGCCGCCCTTGGCAGGGTGCCCACGGAGGAGAGATGAGTTCACAGAGACGGCCCGGCTCGTCTCTCGTTTCACAGGCCCGGCCCTGGGCAGAAATCCATGGACTTCTCTTAACCCATGCCTTCCTTATAAATCCAGGGGTCACTCAATTCTTGCTGTTACTATTCTGTTACTCTTTATGCTGCTACCGGTTTTATCTTGATAATTATTATGTCGTTTTAATTTCAAGCAAGACACGAAAGAGGAAGGTTGCTGAGAGTCCAGAACTGTCGGCGGAAATGCAGGCGGAGACACCGAGGGGGTTAAAAGGAAGAAAAAGAACTGTGGTGATCCTGCAGTGGTTAATATTTAAGCACATTCTGCTTCAGCTTTGTTGAAAAAGTTTGAGGGTTTTTTTCCACAGGTCACGACTGTTGTTATTGCCGTTTGATTCAAGCTTATCCAACCACGCTCTTATCCCCTCCTGAAGCAACCCTCTCCACGTGAAGAGGCCCCCGCCCCCGCTGCTCTGCCTCCCCTTTGGTACAGTATTACCATGTTTTGTTTTATTTTTCTAAGGAAGAAAGGAAGAGAGCCTTCTCATCTATCAGCGGCTCGGAGGATCTCAGATGGGTCTCGTGTCTTCTCGGACTGCGCCAGACTGAGATGTTTTAAGTGCTGTGGTAGACAGCCATGGTCTTCCTGTGGCTTGTTAATAAATTGAGAGAATAAAATTTTATTTATGGCCCTTTTAGGCCAAATAAAACTGCTCTGCCTCATCGTTATTTGTATTTAACCTCACTTGCACTCAAACATTTTCAAACATAACCATAAGGACAAAAAAAATCAATGTCTCACTCAAATTTCCTTTAAGAGAAACAAGAAGCGACTGTAAGCAGAATCGTATGTCCGGAGAAATAGATTCATCTGCAGGTTGTTGTGACGAAGGGGCAACAGACGTGTGTATTTTGTTGGCGTCAGTTGCCCTCATCCAGGTCGTAGGCATTGCTTCATTTTTTTAATCAGACAATTAGTCACATATTGTATAAAATGCAGAACATTGCAGCAAATATTATTTACCAACTCCTTAAATGTCAGGAGAAAGACTTTCAGTCAGGAACGCTGAAATAGAAAGTTCACGTTAAGGACATACTACAAACTGGCAGCTGTCTGTCAGCACAGAGTGTTCTCCTGGGGACATGCCGTGCTAACAAGCAATTAGAAAAAGACCTACAGCAGACGCTAGTTGAGCATACCTGCAAAAATACAGAACTAGCAGAAGAGGAAATGGTAACAGAACAGAGGCCGATGTGACAGAGCACAGACCATTCTGCTACGCTAGTTTGTTTAAATGTACAAATAGAGGCTCAATTATGAAACAGTAAACCCCAGGAATTACCTGCCTCTCAGGTGTGTACAGTACAGTAAATGGTAAACTATATATATAAAAAAAATCTGTGGAAAGTATAAATGGTTGAATTGTAAAATCTAAATCTTGACACACAAGTACAGTAGTATGTTTACACTTTTCAGTGTTGTTTGAAGCGTTGAGTTGGCTTTGGTTAATTTAGTTGGTGCAGCTTCTGTGATCCCTCATTGGAGGGTTATTGTACACATTTAATCATCATACAAAAGTAAACTAATCTGTAAGTGCAGGGCTCCCCAATCACCGAGCCTGGGACCAGTACCGAGCCGTGGATCATTTGGTACTAGACACAAAAAGGGAAGATAGTTTTGTTTCGATGTTTTTGGCTTTACTTTACATCTGTATGGAATTTTATTTTGACAAATAAATGCTTATGTCTCCTCCGCTATACATTATCAACTTTACAGAATTTGATCATGTAATGAAATATATTGATCTTCGAATTTTAATTTACTTACCTACTAAAAAATTCAAGCCGGTTTAGTTGAACACAGTACTGATATATGCGCAGGAATTTAAGAAAGAGACCAAGATTCTCAGCAGCTCTGATGCTCTATTTTTAGCCATTTGCTGCCATCTGGTGGAAGAGTAATCACTCTGCCTGTCACTGTTGAACAAAAGAAAACAAATTATTAGTAAATAAATAATAGTTCCACACCCAATGGTTTTGGGTTTAGTTCCAGCAGCAAATGTGCGCTGGGGCCCTGGAAGTTGCGCCATTTAACCTCGGCTCACTGAGGTAAAAATATCTAAACCAACATTAATGAAAGTGCAGCTGTTTATAAACATTTTTGATATTTTTGACCATGATCTACTCATTGGTTGGCTGAAGTCTTCAGGGTCAAATGTCACTATGGTTGATACCAGATCCTAGGTAAAAGGGCAGCAGTTTTGTTCTTTGTCCACCTACGGTAAAGTTTGTTGTGACAGTGAAGTGATGCTCTACTCTCATACTCCTCATCAACATTCCCCTGCTGCGATAACTCCGCTCATATCCTGAAGTTAATTAGATCCAGGCTTTCATCAACAACACCGACTCCAAAGCACACAGCATGTGGCCCGAGAAAACCTCCCAAAATAATAAAAAATATAGAGTCAGACACCATTTTGTCTGTTTTGAAATAGGTGTTTAATAATAAATTCTGTGCTGATTTCCTGAAGAGTTGTTAATTTCCGGCAGCATAATTCACTACAAACAGAAGTGATAGATACAGGAAACACAGAGAAATCTTATCTAAGCAGAGGTCCAGAACCACACGGACCAGAGTGACAAACGGTCATGTTTAAAGCTGAAAGACCTCACTGATGAAAACTGAGTGCTTAATATACTGCAGTATGTAAACAATATTCAAACGCTGATGGAAAAGAATGTTTAAAATCAGCATTGTTACAGGTAAATTATAATTTAATGTCACCTCTAGTGGACCTAGTCATTTTTCACGCCGTCAGTCATTTGGCTAAGCGCTTGCCTTTTACAGTCAAATATAATAATCAAATCCTCAAATATTAAAATGCAAACCTTGAAGGTTATGAGTCAAATATATTTTTTTAGATATTTTTGATAGAGGAGCAGATCAAAAATAAATGTCAATGTATTGTTATGGTGTTAGAGATGGATCCTTGCTGCTGTATAAGAAAGTCAGGAGTGGCCGAAAAGTATGTGAGGTAGATGTGAGCGGCTGTCTCACTGTATTTGTGATATACACGATATTTGGACAATGCTGTTGTCTGTAGTGTCGTTAAGAAACTCAGCAGCATAGACTTTCCAAAAATAGTTACATCGAGGGCAACTGGACAGAGCAGGTTGAAGACGTTTCTTCTTGACACGGTGGGCCGCATTTGGCCCACGGGCCTTGAGTTAACCACATGTTTTAAATCAGCAAAATTGACAGAACCAAATATGGACGGTTGTTTTCACTCTGCCTTTTTCTTTACATTATCCACAGACATGTGTTTCTACTCAACAACGCTGCTCTCTGACAACACAGGCCTATTGTTATGTTTTCAATCCTTCCATTCTCTGGACAGCTTTACAGTCTGTGACTTTTGTCAAACCTCTCAGCCAAGACTTTCTTTCCCGTCTTTGTCTGTACGTCCAAACTCTCTGTCACACGTTGTCTTGATGTCGTCCATCTGTGGAGCAGTAATCTACTTAAAGATTGCTTAGAAAGTAATGTGATTTTGGTATCGACTGTACAGGAGATTAGACTTTGTCCTTATTTTACCCTGCTAAGGAAAAACACTGAGACGCTAATCCTGAGCTCTCTCTCGTTGTGTGTGCGTGCGTGGGAGTGAGTGTGTGTGTGTGTGTGAGTGAGTGTGTTTATTGAATATATTGGAGGACTAATAATAGTCCAAAGACTATTTCTTGTGGACACAATTACCAGATGAGAACAAAAGCAGTAATTTTTGGGTCTGGGGTTTTGGTTGGTCTCCAGGACAGAAATATGTGGTAAGTCTCTGCAGTGTCCTGTAAGTGACCTATTTTGTGTGAGTGTGTGTGTGTGTGTGTCTCTTCCCCTGCGTGTGTTGCTCTTTGATAGACCCATCTCTTCCATGCTTGCAAATATTTATGGGTTGCCCACTATAATTACTGGCAGTGTTATCCCTTAATTTTACTCATTATTTCCACTGAATTGAAGTGGGGCATGGAGCCAAGTCCTGGGATGATTACAGAGTCGAAACAGTGGCAGTTTATATAGTCCATGATGCTGATAGACAAGTTTAATTAGTGGTTTGGACTGTTTTATTCAGTGCAGACCCATTCCACAATCTTCAGCTGAGGCAAGCAAAACAATATAAACACGCCTGCTCAGTCTGTCTAATCGTCCCTCATAATCAAGTCAAAGTAATTATTGGACGAAGTCAGCCAATATGTGTCAGAATAAATCATTTAAACTGGATATTAAGTCTTATCTCTATGCACAGACACTTTATTTGCTAATCAAATAATCAACTATTTCCCACTTTGCAGTGAGAACTGAAAACTCTCTTTTGTTTTGTTTTTGTGTTTTTTTTAAGGTGTGCTGAGCTGTTTGTTCAAAATCCCTTAGGACGACATTGTATAGTCAAGAATATGAGGCTGTGTTTTGGATTAAGTTGAAATTTTAATTAATTTGCCCTGCTCTTAAGCCCCTAGCGGGGTCCTGCCCCTCAGTTTGGCAACCACCGCTATAAGGCAAGAGCTCTCAACATCGCTGCCACTGAAAAAAAGACGATAAAAGAGTCAGACCTGCAGCTACAATGGCTGGATAATTAGGCTCCCGAAGAAGAAATCGGCATCAGTCACTGAAGAAGTTCGATCGTGGCCATTCATTCATTAGATAAGATAAAGTTTAACTTTGTTACGCTAAGTAGCTAAAGACTGCTGTTTATAGAATATCTGATGAAGCTGACAGAATGATGGCTGATAGTTGGATAGCCCATCAGGCTGAGTGACCTGTCAGATCTGCCGCTTTGCAGATGCACGAGGTCGGCTCGGAATTATTTAGAAATACATAAATTAAATAAATAAATAACTTTATAAATACACACTGTATGTTTTAACCTGCAGTTTCAACGCAGGTCAACTGCAGATATGCGATACCTCGGCACACAAGACAACAGTTGGTCACCCTTACGGTGTTAGCTT